AGAGGCTCAAGAAGAACATCTTTCTTCTCAAAGCAGTAGGTTGGTGTTATAATACAAAAATGTGCCACGCTCCACTTTTATCAATAGAATTCATAAATATGTGCAGTTTCACTCAAATAATATATAAGTGCAATTTTACATAAATCCCCTATATAAATAACAAAAAAATTTCCATATATAATTCTTCCCAATTCTTGAGTTCACTTTAATAGTTATATTTAGTGCAAAACTCGTGCACCCCCACCGGTTGTGCTCTCACCTCAAATATATGACCAAACCGTTAAGCGAGGTCATATAAAGTCTGTGTCCCTTTAATTGGACCAAGTGTGGATGGGATGGTATCCAGCTGAATAGGATCCCATTTTGCTCATCTAGTGGCTCTCCTCCTTCGGTGGGTATGTTAAGAGAATAACCAGATTATAGTGCTTTATCCTTAAATACTCATTTATTAGTACAAAGTAGTACACTCCCATGATCAATATACAGAAGCGCTTTGTGCAATAAATTGCCTCCTGAATTTTAGCAGTGATGATATCCTGCATGTAGCCAACTGGTGTCACTATAGAAGCATTGTGACGTCAAAGCCCTCCAATATGCGTTACGCCATCACGTGGCTTCATCAGGGGGAATGATCACATTACCCAGTGGCGTAATGCATAGGGGAGGGGCTTTGACATCACGACGCTCGATGGGTGGGGGTGCACAATCTTTGTAGTGAATTTTGACACTGAAGGTGTCTATTGGTAAAAGTGGAGCACAGTACATTTTTGTAATATATGCAGTAGACACATTTGTATGAGCATGTGTTAGGTGTAGGCGATACACTAATTTGTATTTTGGTTTGGCATGAAGTATCTGATATAGCAGCTCACAAGTCTTGTTTATAATTTCGCATTAGTTTGGTGTTGATGGCCACTGCAGTTTTCCACAACTAAACTGGTGTGAGCAATGGTGGGGTTTATGTGCAGCCTTGTGTCAGGAAGAACAGGTAAAGGAAGTAGTGACCACTTGGGTTCTAAGCTTTTAATAACTGAGGTGAGCAGATATTGAAGCAGATATGATTGAGCCCTGCTCCAACCTAACAAAGACTGCTTTTCCAGGATGTATCCCAAAGCTTTCAACGCATTTAATTCAAAACCATGTCAAAATATACATGCCAGCACACCATGGATCTTCAAAATAGCATCCAAAAATATATTAAAGCAATCACATCATGGCAGTAAATTGTGAGGTTTCAGGGCTACGCAGGACCCCTTTATCAGGTATGTGATACCTGATGGAGTCCTCCATAGTCCTCTGTGGTCCTCATGGTCCATGGTACTTAATCAAAACCTATGATTGAAGCATCCCTGTCGCTAAATGCATGAAAGGAAATTAAACTCAATCCTGGAATGACATAGGAGGCGATGGACGGAACCACAGCTTGTGGCAAAAGAACAAGTATCTGACACAGTAGCTAATGACATAGACCTCCAGAAAGATTATTGTTATAATACAGGATTTATACGGCGCCAACAGTTTGCTCAGCGCTTTACAATATAACGGGAGACAATACAGCAACAATACAGTTCAATACAAGAGGGTTAGGAGGGCCCAGCTCCTTGGAGCTTACAATCTAAGAGGGAGGGGCTAGTGGTGCAAAAGGTAGTAGAAACCGTGGGGGATGGACTGGTAGGAGGAATAGAAGATTCCATTATTAGCTGAGGGCAGGGTAGGCTTCCCTGAAGAGATAGGTTTTCAGAGATTGCCTAAAGCAGAGTAGGCAATAGTCTGATAAATTGGGGTAGAGAGTTCCAGAGGATGGGGGAAGCTCTGGAGAAGTCCTGGAGATGAGCATGGGAGGAGGAGACAAGGAAGCTAGAGAGCAGGAGGTTGTGCGAGGAGCGGAGAGTATGGTTTGGGTGATATTTGGAGACAAGTTTGGTGATGTAATTTGGGGTAGACTTATAAATGGCTTTATATGTTATTGGTAATGTTTTGAATTTTATCCGTTGGGCAATGGGAAGCCAGTGGAGGGATTGGCAGAGAGGGGTGGCAGATACGGAACGGTTAGTAAGGTGGAGGAGCCTAGCAGCAGTATTCATGATAGACTGAAGAGGGGATAGCCTGCGATGAGGTAGGCCAATGAGAAGGTATACATCATCTTCCTTTACGAGCTGGTTTATGTACTCACTGTACACTGATCATATTTTGAAAAATATAAACATTCTTGATTAGCAGTTTACTTACAATATGTTATATATTACAAAGGAATACAAGGAAAGTCTGACAATGTTAGACAAGGTTAGAAAGTCTGACAATGTTTTTATTGCTGTTCATGTCTTCCAGTTCTAGTGACAGCCAACAATCTACATTTTTTTTTGGGCGTCACAGGAGCAGAACATGAAGGAAAAACTCCCTGATGGCTTCACAGACAGAAATAAAAACCTTTAAGCACCTGACCTCCGGAAGATTTACCCCACTTCCTCACCAGGCCATTTTTTGTGAAACGTTGCTGTGTTAATTTAACTGACAATTGTGTGGTCATACAATGCTGTACATCAATGAAATCTCTCATTTTACCCCCACAAATAGAGATTTCTTTTGGTGGTATTTGATCACCTCTGTACTTTTTACTTTTTGAATTAGAAACAAAAAATACCAACAATTAAAAAAAGAAAAAAACTATATGTTTTTATTTTCTGCTATAAAACATATCCAGTAAAAAAAATAAAATGTATTCATAAATTTAGGCCAAAATGTATTCTGCCACATATTTTTGGTAAAAAAAAAAATCCCAATAAGCGCATATTGATTGGTTTGTGCAAAAGTTATAGCGTCTATTTAGTTATTTTTTTACTAGTAATGGCGGCAATCAGCAACCTATAGCAGGACTGCGATATTTCGGAGGACATTTTTACACTAACTGACACTTTGTGGGAACCACTGACACCAATACAGTGATCAGTGCTAAAAATATGCACTGACACTGTACTAATGACACTGGCTGGGAAGGGGTTAAACATCTAGGGTGATCAAAGGGTTAACTGTGTCTAGCTATGTGCTTGATATACAAAAGGTGGTGCTTTTACTAGGGGAAGTAAAGGATCGTGTTCTCAGCTTTGCAGGGACACACGATCCTTCACTCCCCCCTGTCAAAACAGAGCTCTGCCTTGTTTACATAGGCAGAGCCACGTTTGGAATGTGGTGACGTATTTCCAGCGTGGACACCATCTTGCTACACCCAAAAATGCCCATGCAAGTACACCCATAGCATGAGTTTTTTTTCAGCTTGTTTTATGCTTTGAAAAAGTGACTGGGCATTTGGCTATATATGTTTTAATTAATATTAAACAGTTTTACACTATGGGAGATATCTTTCTTTTCTATCCTGACCTTTTGATGGGGCTGGCTGTATCAGGGGCAGACTGACCATTTGGAAACTCGGCACTGCTCGAGGGCCCGAGGTCAGTAGGGGGCCCCATGAGATGCCCCTGGTACCTTTTTCTGCTGCTTCGTTTACTAACCTGTGAAGGGGATACCACTGTTGCGGACTGATACTATCCGAGAAGGGTGAGAAGGCCGTGGATGGTCATTCTTGTTTTCTAACAGGTGTTTTGGCCCTTTGGGTCGCTTCAAGGAGGTGAGGGGGCAATTCAGCCGTTTATGGATTATTTCCTTCTGGTTGTCATGCAAATATAACTATATTACTTGCACCTTCTGAGCTGTATTATTTGATGTTTTTCTACGCACCACTGAACTTTATTTTTCTGGACAATTTTTATGTGACACTGGAACAGAGGTTTCTGAATATCACGTTTTGCTGTGATACCACATATTTATGTGTCATTTTATTTATTCATTTTAATTATTTATTTTTTTGGGGTCTTATAATCACTGCACTTGTCACTTTAGTGTGATATATTTAATCCCACATTAAGGGATTCACGGATTTTTTTCACTATTTTTTGGATAATTTATGGTCACTATTAATATTAATGTATTTATTGATCCCACATTCAGGGATTCACTTTTTATGTTGATTATTATTATCACTGCACTTGTCACAATTATGTGATATATTTGATCCTATATTCAGAGATTCACTATTTTTCATTAATTTTGGCTAATTTACAGCCTTTGTGGTCACCATTACTTTTAGTGCGAGTATTGATCCCACATTTAGGGATTCACCTTTTATGTTTATTATAGTTCATAATTATTGAAGTCCCATCAGGACATTTTCTTTCACTGGCGTTTCTTTATCCACACATTATCTATTCAATTTCTGTTCATCTATGGATCACTTAGCGGATCAGCTCACTTTGTGAACTGTGAAAGAATGGGTTGTTGTTTTCACTGAACTGCACTGGTGGCATTCATTAGTCACTTATAAAGGTTTGTATGAGTCATTTTGGATTTGGATTCAAACTGTTTTTATGTGCATTCTATTCTATTTTATGTATTTATTGTACATCATTTATTGGTTTATTCTATCTAATTTTGAGATAAGACAGTGAGGGAGTAGTGTAGTTTTGGGGAAGCGCTGCACCAATTCACTTTATATTTTGCATATTATCCATTTGGTATATGGTTGGGTATCAGCAGCCTCCTCCCCATAATTGTTATTAGTCCATTTTTTTGAGCAGCACAGGAGGTTCTTATCGTTTAATTATCCTTTAATACTGTCCTTATATAGGCATTTGTATCTGTCCACTGAAGTACAGTCCAGACTTGCCTTGAAATTTAATACATCTTGTACAATCCTCAGTTCATCATCATACTAACAGAAGCTGATGGGAACCTAGGTCCGCAGACCACACAAAAGGGCTGTCTAAGTCAGCACTGACTTTTAGTCAACAACTTTTTATAGTAACAACAGGAATCCAGCCATGCTGTTTACCATCAATAAATTCATAAATAGATTGCAGAGATTTGTAAAGTCATTTTAATCCAACCCATGTAAATATAATTAATAAGACAAAGTGCAGTTTTAATTTGGTTAAAGCCTTAAAGTGTTACTAAACCCACAACAGTAAAATCAGCCTGTATATTCAGTAAAGCATGCTTGTTATACTCACTGTGGAATCTAAGGGGTTAATCCTCCGCACTGTAAAAAGGCTGTTTGATCCTGTCTTCTCTAATCCTCCCCTTCTTCCACAGTCCCCAATCCATCTGCTGATAGTACACAGCCCTAGGAGACACTCTGTACATGCTCGGTTTGGTGTGTATTGCTAGAGGTTTTTTTTTTTTCTGGAGGGTGCATGTGCACAGGGTCAACCAGCACTGTCCACACAGAGGTTCGAGGGTTGTGCAGCCTCATTGGACAGTCAGAGGAGAATGAAAACTCCTCCTACAAGATTAACCAGTGCTTAGCCGGACACTGATAGAAGTCACAAGACTGCTATATACTGCTGATGAGAAAAGGTATTTAGCAGTTTATATTTACTAAAATAATTGCATTTCCATGTTCTGTGTACTGTGGAAGACTGAATATACGTAGTGAATGCAGGGGTTTAGCAACACTAAACCCAGGAGTTTAGTAACTCTTTCAGCTTTTTTACCTTAATGCATTCTCTGCATTAGAGTAAAAATCCTTTTGTAATGACGATCCCCCCCCCCCCTACATTCCGTTCACTTACCTGAGCCCAATCTTGGTCCAGCAATGTGCGCTAGAGCAGCAGCTCTCTCTGCTCTCTCCCTCCTCACTGGGCAGATTAATAGCAGGGGGAGCCATTGACTCCTGCTACTGTCAAATCCTATGATGAAAGAGTGGGGCAAAACCACACTGTCTGTGTCTTTGGAGTGAGCCCACATGAATAACCCCCTTAGTAAAGGGCTTGCTAGGGGGTTGCTTGACAGGGGAGGAGGAGCCAAGAGCGCTGACAGGGAACCCCAGAAGAGGAGGATTAGGACATGTCTGTGCAAATCCAAGTTTGTTATTAAAAAAAGTGAAGTTTAATATCACTTTAAATACAACTTATAAAAATACAGTACTGAGTATGCTTATTTATTAGAAATATACATTGGGGTTCACCTTAGCCAAATGTGAATTGATCCATTTTGTGAAGGTTCTCTTTTGCACTGCTTCTTGTTCATCTGTGGAAGAAAAAGAACACCAAGTTAGTACAGCAACTGACACGGTGTCAAGAAAGCACTGATTTAGCATTAGACCAATGTTTCTGAAAATGTGCATTATGCAATACGGTACTTTATAAATTATTACAGATAATGTAAGGAAAAAGAAATGACTTTCTTGTTTCATAAGTGTACTGTGTCTTCTGGAATCACTTTTTATGTGACCATAATGTATTTATTTCTGGTTCCATAGTATATAAATTGTTTACTCAGAGCGGAATGGTAACTTTTTTTTGGCTATGCTATTGATGGGGAATTTTTCAGAATTATGATTTTCACAACTAATGAAAAACAGGAAAAGTGCTCATGCACATGGTGATATTGGGCCACATAACATAAACGGTGGCTGGATTTTGGAGCCCACAGATGTTTCGTACAGCCGACCATTTAAATGTACACTCCTGAAAGCGCACACATCCAGGGGCTTATTCCTGTACGCATGCTTACGCTCAGAGGTGCGTATATCTGCAATTATTACAATTCATTTGCACAAGCAATGGTATGCAACACCTGTTGCTCCCTGGTGCCAAAATACAGCATAGAATAACATACATTTTATGCTATATGGCCCAAAGCACCAATGAGCATGAGCCTAAAAGATCAGCTATTCAGTTTGTAAGCATTAATAATAAAAAAAAAAAACTGAAATAAAACTGATTAAAGGCTGGTACAGGATAGGGAAAAAAGGGGGAGAGAACAATGTTCTTGGACAACTTGCCAGCCAGCTTGCTAACAACCGAATTAACCTGTCTAACAGTATGCGTTTATAACAGGGGTTTAGTTAGCACACATTTGCAAATACATACGTAAGCCACAGAGCCACGACACGGCACCCTGATCATCTGTGGTCCTAACTCTAAAATTTGTGAGTCCCCATAGTAGAGGCACATGCATTTAATGGATAGATCAAGGGCAGGTTTTTCACTATGTGATGCCTGTTTATGTGTCCTTGCTTCATAAGCCAGTTATAGACTTGGGCGGGTGGCCACTTTTATGCATGTTTGATTTTTTGGTACGTGGGTGCACTAGGACCCTGGTTGCCATTGTGCTACATGCTGGGGTCCAGTGCACTCCTTTGCCTTTAAGAGGGGTGGCTCCCTCAGGTCCACCTGCCTTTTGATCTATCCATTAAATGCATGTGCCTCTACTATGGGGACTCACAAATTTTAGAGTTAGGACCACAGATGATCAGGGTGCCGTGTCGTGGCTCTGTGGCTTACGTATGTATTTGCAAATGTGTGCTAACTAAACCCCTGTTATAAACGCATACTGTTAGGTTAATTCGGTTGTTAGCAAGCTGGCTGGCAAGTTGTCCAAGAACATTGTTCTCTCCCCCTTTTTTCACTATGTGATGCCTGTTTATGTGTCCTTGCTTCATAAGCCAGTTATAGACTTGGGCGGGTGGCCACTTTTATGCATGGTACAGGATAGGGCCTGATGCTCATGGCCATACAGAGGCCATACAAGGAGCAGAGCCTGCATATCACCCACTGTTGCTGCATACAGCTGCCTATTAAGAGGAATTAGAAGATAGGGCCATATGCAGTTATGCGTGTTACATAAAACACCTGCACAAGCATGAAGGTATGCTCCAAATACACATAGTGTTCATTCACAGCATGTGTTTGTGCACGTGTAGATACTTTACTTTGTACAGCCATACCCACATGGAAGAAAAATATATTTGAAATATATTTTAAAAATATTCTTCCCAAATATATTGCCATATATTTGAAATGCTACAAATTTGGCCATATTCAATATATTTATATATATATATATATATATATATATATATATATATATATTTATTTTTATATATATATATATATACACTGCATGTTGAAATGCATTTTTATTACAAAATATATGAAAAATATTTTTTAAAAATACATTTAAAATATACTGTATGTCTTTTTAAAAATACAAATCTACATTTTTGGAGTGCATTTACCAATATATGTAAAAATATATGTTAAAATGACTTAAAAAAAATGAAAAATATATTTAAAACATATATATTTTTTAGAAATATATATTTTTTTAGATTTATTCTGCAGATTTTTTTTAACATATCAAAAAGTAATTTTAACATATATTTTTACATATATTTGTAAATGCATTCCAAAAATGTAGATTTGTATTTTTAAAGACACACAGTATATTTGAAGTGTATTTTGAAAAATATTTGTCAGATATTTTGTAATAAAAACGCATTTCAACATGCAGTATATATATATATATATATATATATATATATATATATATATTATTTTTTTTTTTTTTTTTTTTAATATAGTGAATATGGCCACAATTGTAGCATTTCAAATATATGGCAATATAATTTGGGAAGAATATTTCTGAAATATATTTCAAATATATTTTTCTTCCATATGGGTATCTTCTATGTCATCTCAATGGGCGCCTGTACATGGCAGCAGTAGATCCAAAGAATGTGATTGCACAGGCTCTTACTACTGTACAGCCATGTGCACGAAGCCTACATGAAAATACAAAGCTGGCATATAAGCCGCAGCAAAAACAGTCACCCTACTGTATACCATATTGATTAATAGATGTATTAGGGAGGAAAATGAAATGGCAGTTCTGATATAAACATACAGTGTTAGCTGGTGCTCCCATTTGTGTCATCTTGCCACACACTCTCCCCAATGGAGACTTCAAGTGGCCATGCAAATGCCTTTGCTTTCCTTTTTTGGGGGGCTGGGGGGGGGCAAACTACACAGTTCAGCTACTCTCTAAAATAATACCTGTGTCCCAATGCAGCCCTTGGAGTTTAGGTCCAGGCCATACACTTTTGTCTAGTGGTTGTCAAATTATGAGCTACAGGGGACCTCAAATGCGGCCCCTGACATCACCAAAGGGCCACACATAATAATGTTCAATATATGTAATGCTTGAGAGAACTCTCAGAAACTGCAGACCCAGAGGGAATGAGGATCAGAAAGTGTAGACATGCTACATTGTTAGCTGTGGATATTCTGCAGAGGACAATACAAAACTGAGTACCGAGAGCAGCATGTGACCCTTTTGAATATGATGTGCGGCCCATGGGACGCAGGTTGGGCAGTAGGGCTTTCATCTTTTTGGGGGTTAAGTACCCTCTACACCATGGTGCCAAACCTCTCCACTCCTAATCAACTGTCAAGTGATATTGCCGCAGTGGGAAGTAGAGGCACTGTCATTTGAATGGCAGGAGAGAAACTTTATGCCAGGGAAGAGCAGAACAAACCTGGACAGGAGTCATGGCCAATTTTTTATAGCCTGGGCCGGGAATAAAGCGCCTCAGCAAGAACACAGGAATTGAATTGACAATGATCCTAGGTATCTTAGGGCACCAGAAAGGGCTTTGATACCTTACACAATTTTCAATCAATGACAGGTTCACTTTAAATGAACACAGCCCTAAAGATTCTAATAGTATCTCAGTTATCGTTGGTAACCTGTGATTTTTAGAACTGGTCATACATAGCAAAACATCTATAACGGATATGTTTGTATACTACAAATGAATCTCTCATCAGAGCAAGCTGTGTCATTAATCATAAAGCCAGGGATATGTCTTTCCTTCCCTCAACAGGAAAGAGATACAGACATCCTTGTTTGTAAGATAAACCTGGCTTCACAGATCTCCCCACAATTTCACTTCCACCTAGACGTTGTCTACAGCACTGGAGTATTTCCCTATGAAATATTAATGTCTTCCATGAAGAGAAATTAGTTGGTAAATAATTGATTTGTTCCCCATGAATTTCCTTTATAGAAAGGAGAGATATACAATGTTTTTCTGAAAAGCCTTCTGCAAAGCATGAGACTGACCATAACACTTGATAGGGACAGGTCCTGACGAAGAGCTCTATGCATGTATGCTCCCTTATTGGGGATTTCAGCTTTTGCTATATTGTTTTCAAACAAAGCAGAAAAAATGATAATCTTATAATGAGGGACCAGTTGCTATTGTAATTTACAGCAGCAGTCTCCAAACTATGGCCCAGGGGCCAGAAGCGGCCCTTTGCTTGCCTTTATCCGGTTCTTGAGGCATTACTCCAGTCACTGATACAGGGGACTACTCCCTCTTTTG